GGGGTCAGGATAGCGGGGAATCACGGGTCTCTAGGAAGGGTCTGGGTGCCAGGCTGAGGCTCTCCAGGTTTGCGGGGGGTAGCCACCTGACTTCTGACCCTTGACCCCAGGTGACAGCCAGAAGCGGCGCATCCGCATTGAGCCAGGTGGCACCATGAACATTTACCTGCTGCTCGATGCCTCTGACAGCATCGGCACCGACAACTTCACCCGCTCCCGCGATGCTCTCAGCCAGCTTGTCGAGAAGGTGGGCCCCCCCAACTTGCTGGGAGCCCCCCAGGATCCCCCAAATATGTCCTCCCCTTCCACCCATGGCACCTCAAAGCCATGTTGTGCCTCCCCCAACCCAGTATCTGCCCTTCCCCCAACACTGCCCTCCCTGATGCCATGCCCCCCCAGGTCTCCAGCTACGGGGTGTTCCCACACTACAGCCTCATCACTTTTGCCAGCGAGCCCCACGTGGTTATCAGCACCCAGGACGCCCGCAGTGCCGATGCTAACTGGGTGCGTGAGCAGCTCGAGGGCCTCAAATACACGGGTGAGCAGGGGTGTGGAAATCCCAGGCTGGCATGGGGGAGCGGGGCAGGGGCAGAGGCAGGGGCAGAGACGGGAGCAGGAGCTGGGGCTGGAGGGAGTAGTGGTGCAAGAACCAGGGCTGGGGCAGGGACAAGAGCTGAGGTTGAAAGGGGCTGGGGGGAAGACTGGAAAAAAGGGAAGACCATAGAGCAGCCAGGAGGAGAGAGCCCAGAGTGTCCCTAGTGCCTACACCTCTGTGTGGCGCTATGGGGCCACCTGAAGGTGGAGGGTGGGACTGCATCCAGCCAGATCTGCCCCCTGGCCCCTCCCACCCCCTGTTCCTGCCCCCCTCAGCCCCCAGGGGAGACAGAGAGGGGGTCTGTGACCCCCTAGGCCAGGCCCTGACTTCCCTTATTGCCCCCCAGACCATGCGTACAAGGCAGGCACCAACACTCGGGCAGCACTGGAGGCCGTCTACCACATGCTAGTGCAGCAGGAGGAGGAGCAGCTGCGCCATGGCCCCGCCCCAGCCCCTGTTGTCAACTCCACCCGCCACGTCCTGATCATCATGACCGATGGTGAGTGGGGCCAGACCCCTGGGACCCACCGATCACCCCCTGGACTCTCTAGAGCCTCCTTGGGCCCTCTGGCACCCTGAGACCTCAGTGACAGCCCCTGAACCTCTCCAGACCCATCCTGTGCCCCCTGACACCTTCCAGACCTCTCCACTATCCCCGAGACCCAACAGGCACCCCATCTCCCTTGGCACCCCCTGGACCCCCCCAACCCCAGTACCCCTTGGATCCCCTCCATAACCCAGCCCCCCTGATCCCCACAATAACCCTTGGGTCTGCCTTCTACCC